TCCAGTTAGAGACACCTTAAGCACTCCATGGTTACTGTTTCATGGACGTCTAAAAGCTGCCTTGGTGGAAGGGATGCATCTGCCCCCATTTTCCAGATGAAATAACAGACTATACAGAGAAGCCACCTAGCGACTGTCACACAGGCGGCAATTGCGTGGGTTACATGCTAGTAAAAACGCATTCTTCTGTTTACCTGCTAAGGAAATGTGAGCATCTGCACTATGTCAGAAACAGTTACATGTGCAGGAAATACTGAGGTGGACAAGAGGGTCATGGGGATTGGCATTCTAACAGGGTGACATAATGCACAAGAAGCCATAGGAATACAATTGCTGGCACTTAGGAGAGCCTGGAGGAAAATTAAGGGATAATCGGTGGCTGGAGTCGGGGAACACGCAGATGAGCTTGTCAGGGTGCTGTTTCCGAGGGAACTCATTCCAGCCGAGGCAGGAGTGGTGATGGGCGATGAGGTGACAGGAAGGCCCAGGGAGGCATGTTCCTTGCGGATGTTGTAATACATACTTGTGGATGGGCTTAGGGGCTAAAGGAACGCGTCTATAGCAGAGTGCGTGGCTGATGACAAGTGTCTCATGGCAATCCTTTGACCAGGCTTTGTTTTGAGTCGGAGACATCAGTGACCCATAGATGAGACACCTGGGACCCGGCTCAGTTTGTTTGGCAGTTTGTGGGCACCATCCATCTCCTCCACTCCATAGCCTGCTTGCCCCCTCCACCAGTTCCCTCATCTGTAATGAATGTGCACGTGGTGCTTCACACACAAGGCACCCGGAAGGCAGCTTTCCCCATCCTGTTTAACTAGGGCAGCACAAAGGAAGAGAGCCCCAAGCAGGAGGTATCTTCGCTACTCAGCACGTGTCCTCTTTAGCAGGTGAGTCCATGGGAAGCCTTCAGATGCTAACAACAGAAATGCACTGCGCCACAGGAAAGCAAGAGGAGGAGAGAAAGTCAGCTTACAGGAAGAGCATGCAACCCGCATGCAGTAAAGGCAGAACCACAGGACCAGTTAGCAAACGGCACAGGAGCACAGCACATCTCACAGCCAGATGCTCTGAAATGGAGTCTCCATGGTCTAGCTGCGACCCCACGCCTCTGTCGGGCCAAGGGGAGGTGCAAAGACCTGACTGGCAGTTGATAACCCGGAAACGGAAGAGAAGTGATGGCACCACAAACGGAGAGCAGAGGGCCTGGGAGACAGCTCAGTCGGTAAGGCGCTCTGTGCGAGCCTGAAGACTTAACTTGATCTTCAGACCCATGTGTAGCATCCACTTAAAGGTGGATGTGGTGGGGCTCACCTGTGCTCCTACAGAGAGATGGAGGCTGAGACAAGAGAATCTCCAAAGCTTTGCCTGGCAATGAGGTAGTGAACAACAAAGAGACACTACCGGAAACAAGACGGAGGTAAGGACTGGCAGCTGAGCATGTCCTCTGATTCCTGCGCACGCACTATGGCACAGGAGTGTACACACGCTCACACACACACAGCAGTGAGCACACACAATGAAGAGTGAAAATAGCAATGACACCAGACAGAGGACAACACAGGAAGGCGGAAGCTTTTCTTGCTTGTCAACCTGGCGTAAGGGCAGAGAGTGGGACTGTCAACTGTAAAATGAGTTTAGTACTAGGGTAATCTCTAGGAGCACAAGAACATCGAGCCATCAGGGTATGGACCCCAAACTTCTCCACCAATGAGCAGAGAGAGTCCGATCATGTGGCGCTCTCCTCCCAGCCCTCTCTATCATCCCTCTGACCCTCATCTGAGAGGTGACTCTGCCTAGTCAGTTGTTTTCAAGGGGTGCTGTGGCAGAGCATGGTCTGAGTGGAGTTCCCAGCGTGTGCTGTGAGCCTCGCATTTTAGGTGACCTTTCAAGTGCAACTACTACTGACTTGCACATTCTAGAACAGATAGCATTGGATTTTGGCAGATTCTATATGCTACTGAAATTTGCTGACATATAGATATCTGTACATTGGCTGAGTCAACACTTGATATCTTTGCCTCATGGTGGCTCTATTATACCCCGTCCTTGAAAAATAAATAGGCCTCATGCTGAGGGCTATAAGAAGAATGAAGTCCCTAGAGAAGAGACACTGATGTGGCATGAGTATATGTCCATGAAGTATGTGACTCTTCAAGCCTAAATAAATGCTTCCAGTTGGAAGAACCACCATCACTATTCAGTTGCCTATTGAAATTTTAAATTGTTCCATTTTTCTCTGTTGTGAATAATGCATCCTGAACCACCTATTTACATATTTTATTGTCAATTTTGACCATTTTCCCTACAAAGTGTGACTCTTGTGGAAGCCACCTGGATTGTGATGAGTCAGCCTTTGGGTGTAAAGATAAGTATTTAGAATGTAGTCGGAAATTACGCTGGTTTAATAAAGCCCTTGATCCTCATAAAATACCCTTATTTTTGCACCTGCAGAGACCATTACAGAAATCCACAACTGGCCAAAATACAGAGAACAACTGACTATAGGAGGCCAGCCGCAATAGACACACTTATGACACAGTCTGAACATCTCAAAAGAGGGGGAAGAAAGGTTATGAGAAGGCAAAGACCATGAAGTTTTCTACAAGATGTGTCTTCTAAACATGACAGGGAGGTGGTCCCCAATAAATTTCAGCAATATGGTCACCTAAACAAGACCCGAACAATAACAACACCAGTCGGTTAACATGCCAACATGGATGGAGAAATCTCAGAAGGCCTCACCCCTAGGTGAAACACTACAGACAATTACCGACTGCTGAGAGAGAAAGAAACAGTCTCCCTTAGGGATGAACCCCCTAATTGATTATGCAATACCAAGTGGTCAACTCTAAAAACACAAATGAGCAGCTCCAAATGGATCCAGGGTGTTGCTTCTATCCATCTATGTATGTACATATGTAGCAATGATAATTAAAGAAATAGTGATCATGAGCTTGAGAGAGCAGGGTGGGTAGGTGGCATAGGGAACAAGAGGAGTTGGAAGGAGAGGGGGGAATGGAATCTACGTAAAATTTTTAAAAACACAATTTTTGAAAAAAAAGAATTAATCTTTGGGTACAGAGAAATCACCAAATTAAGAGCTGCTCTTACAATGGAAAAATAGTCAATTACATGTAATTTGACAATGATGTGTATTTTAAGAACAGAAGACCATCAACAAAAACAGAAAATAGACAAAGAAAAGCCCAAGGAAGAGAAAAAAAATCTCCCTACAACCCATCTTGATTGTCAACTCTTACCCAAACAGAAGATTTCTTTAATCTTTTTCAAATAATTTTTCCAAACCCAAACAAGCCATGTGCTAATGGAACTTGAATGCAGATAGGCCAAGAGCAGAGTGGTGAATCTCTCCTATCCTATAGTTTCTGTGTTTCTGTGTTTGAATTCGATGTCTGCCTTCTCCTGAGTAGGCCAGGAAACAAACAAGCTCTGGGAAACCAAAGCACTCCAGGGATGCAGAAGTCAACTCCATGGTGGGTCGGTCCTTGGCCTCCCTCATCTCTCTCTGTCTGCATTTCCTTTAACACGCCCATGGTCATGGTCGAAGTGAATAATGATATATTTTTGTTGTTGTTTGAGAGAAGCCCTTGAAAGTCATTCTGAGACCGGGGTCCAGAAATCTAATCTTTGTTTGATTCTTGTTTAGTGGGATTCAAATCCCAACTTAATTTAATCTTTTGACTTATCCTGCAGGTTCTGCCTGATTATATTCCACTGCCACCAGTAATAGGGTTGTGGGGACCGAATCTCGCTATTAGCACTTTGAGAAACAGGGGTGGAGCAGAAGCCAGCTCTGGCACTGGCATTAGTCAAAGAAACCCACCACAAATGAATGACCCCTTCCTCAGCTTTTCCCCACTGTCTCATTTTAATAAGTTATAGCAGGAATCTCCAGAAAACCTTGAACTTGACTGAAATATAGGATGTGACATTCTAGGCTTATAGACACCTTAAAACAGTGATTCTCAACCTGTAGGTTGGGGGAGGATCATATATCAGATATCTTGCATACCAAATATGTACCTGACAATACATAACAGTAGCAAAATTGCAGTTATGAAGTAGCAATGAAATAATTTTATAGTTGAGGGTCGCCACAACATGAGGTATTAAAGGGTTACAGCATTAGGAAGGCTGAGGACCACTGCCCTAAAACAACTACACCCTGTAACAGACAGGTGTTTGTAAGGCTTCATTAACGATTTTGCACATCTGTTTATATGATCACTGTAATTAGGGGTTTATAGTATTTAGATACATCGACTCAATATAGAAATAATATATAAGCTATGTCTCTGGAATTATCTGGCCCAGGATACGATCCAAATTCCACCTCTTCCTAGAGAGGTGCCCGCCAGTGAGTTCATGACCTTACTATAGATTGCTTTCCTTCTTTGCTGGGCTGTCTCTTGGATTTTTGCAGTTTAAGACCAACCATGCACAGTATGTCTTTAGGAAATTGTATAGCACATGCAACTTACACATAAAATGTCACCTATGATGCAGATGAAAAGGGCAGGAGAGTGGACAAAAGGAAGGGAAATGACACTTCATCCCAAGAGCCATAACCTCCCTCTTGGGTCATCTTCCTTTGCTGAGAGTCTCTGACTTCGTCTTCTGTAGAGAAACAAGAGCATCTTCTATGGAGAGGGAGGTACCATATAATATCCAGGCAATCATGGAAAGGGAGGTACTGTACAAGATCTGGCCAATCGGGACATGCATGAAAAACTTCTGATCCTCAGTAACAACCATTCAAACAAGGAAATGTCAGCTTTCTACCCAGCAGATGGACAGTGAGGGGTGGGGAGACAGTGTATGTAAACATATGGGGTCTCTCTGCAAACCATGCTGACATATTTGGGTTGATTATAGCAAGAAGGTAATTTATTACCATGTTATTGGGTCATGCACAGCCTTTGTGGAAAAGATGCAGGCAAGTCTAGAGCAAGCAGCTGTGCACACTGCTTCAGGTGACAGGCAGAATTGGCCAGGGCTGAGTGGGTACACATGGTTCCTGGACCTCCCTATGCTGTAGGAGTTAGTAGGCCCATGCTGACACAGCTTCGGGACTGGATCTCCATTTCTGATCCCCACAGCTGCCAGGGAGCCATCCCTGAAGCCTTCTTTCCACTCAGATTCTAGACACACCTGGGCATCCCACAGGACAGGATGGTGACATCTTGGCTTCCAGGTGACATGGAACTGGGTGGCTGTGGGAGTGCTGACTGCTTCTTGGAGAGAAAACCCTCTGCCCCCAAATAAGAAAATCCCTTCAATACAGAATAGCTTGGTATAGAGGAAAAAAATAAGATGATTAAGACATAGTTCACACTACTGATATCTTCTATGACAATTGAAAGTATAAAATGGTTTATTCTTTATCTGAAAGCAAGTTTGAGATATGCTGAAAGAGGCTTAAATCATTTACATCCTGTGAATATACAACAAAAAATAATAAATCACTCACTCTGGTAATTTATCCAAGGAAGTTATCAGAGCAGCACTCACGTACGTACAAGGATATTAACTAAAGCTTTATATATTGATCAAAAATGACAATACTCTAAATTCTATAACAATTAAAGGATGATTTAACAATGGTAAACTTATTATTTTAAGCATCACTTGAACTATGTTGTTAAGAAAAAATAAGAGCTCTGAAAATTAGCATTTCTAATGGAATCGTGAGCTTGACGCTGTTTAAAGAGGTTTACATTACCCGTCTTACCAGATCGTCAAAACAACTCCATGAACCACAAAAGGGAAGGACCATTTCTACAGGGAACTTAAGTCAATTGCCCCTGAAGAAGGGGAACAGGAGACAGAAAAGGGGTCAACAGAAATGTCTGATTGACAGCTGAGAACAGTTTCAAGGTGTGACTCTCCCCAAAGCAAAGCTTCCTTTCAGTGACAATAAGAATATTGCCTGCAGCTGAAGTCCCATGCTGACACCCTGACCTCTGTTTTGAAGAGGGACTCTTCTTCTTGTGGGCTAAAGGAGCCACAGAGGAGCTGTGGGCATCCATCCATGGTAGAGCACTTGCCTCTTCTGCAGAAGTCCTTGGTTGGTTCCTGGAACTATAGTAAATGATGACTGTTTAAATGCAGAGTCTCACCACTTACTTGTCACTTTCTACAAAAGTCTGAGATTGTTGACTTTCAAAACTTAGCTTCATGGGGTTGGGGAGATGGTTCAGTTCATAAGGCGCTTGCTGTACAAGCATGAAGACTTGAGTTCAGATCACCAGGATCGAGGGAAAAGGCAGGCATGGCTATAATCTCAGCACTGTATGAGCTCATAGGTCAGTCTTTGACAGCTGGTGAGCTAAAGATTCAATGAGAGACTGTTTTTAAAATAAAAAAAAATCTGGAGAGCCACAGCAGACAGCATCAGACTGCTGACGTTTTTGTTCCTCAGGTCCTCTTTATGCCCCAGGACCCCTATATCAGTTAGTCACCTTGCTTCCATCCTGTCTTCTAGGTACTACTTGACAGAGATAGTGAGGTGGCCTGAAAGAAAATGCCCCTGCAAGGGAGTGGCACCATTAGAATGTGTGACCTTGTTGGAGTAGGTATGGTCATTGGAGGAAGTGTGTCACTGTGGAGGTGGGCTTTGAGGTTTCATATATGCTTAAGCCACACCCAGTGAGACAGACCACTTCCTGTTTCCTGTGAGTAGAGATGTAGGACTCTCAGCTCCTTCTCCAGCACCATGTTTACCTGCGCACCACTATCCCACAGCATGATAATGGACTAAACCTCTGAAAATGTAAGCCACCCTAATTAAATGGTTTTCCTTTATGAGAGTTTCTATGGTCATGGTGTCTCTTCACAGCAAAAGAAACCCTAACCAAGTCAATGACCATGACAGTTTTGATAAATATCATCCAGTGATTTGTAGAACACTCATTCGTCAGTGGAATTTGATTGATTTTTTCTATCCTGATGAGTCATGGTGTTAATGGATTTGGAAGAAAAGGACCCAAGAGGAAAAACAAAATTTCACCACAGCACATCCATTTGTTTCTACTTTCATCAACATATCTACACCCAGTATTTATCTAGGTCACCTGGCTGAGGTAGCATTTGTCAGACGTTTTTCACTGTACAGATACTCTTAACTTCTTTTCCTTAATGCACTCATCAGAAATAAGTGTCAATGAGCACTCATCCCCTAAGAAGGGGGTAGTTGTGGTCCATCTCCTTGAGGATTTTGTATCTACACATATTATGGAGAATTCATCCGGGTAGGACATCTGCCCATTACTCCACATTTCTCTGTTCTTTTAGTTACTTTACTATTGCTATGACAAAACACCATGACCAAAGCAACTAATAAAAGAAAGTATTTAATTGACTTATGATCTCAGAGGTTCACATTCCATGACAGTGGAGCGAAGGCATGGTGGTAGGAATAGCTGAGAGCTCTGCAAGTTAGAGATGGAGAGAGAGATACATACTGGAAGATGTTTGAGTCCTCTGAGACATCAAAGCCTGCCCCCAGTGACACATTATTCCCAATAAGACCACACCTCCTAAACCTTCCCAAACTGTTCCACCAACTGGAAACCAAGTATTCAAATGTATGAGCCTATGGAGGCCATTCTCATTCAGACCACCATGTTTGCTGATTCAATAATTTATTAAAAACTAAGAACCTGGTGTCTTTATTCTGCATTTTAGGCCAATGTCACACTATGGGTTTTTTAGTTCTTATTGAGTACTTTTGGACTTTAATAAAGACTTCCAATGGAACCATGTCCAACCCCACACAGACTCACTGGAAGACATGAAAGAATTAATACCCAACAAATAACCATTGAGGACACAGCCAGTCCATTTCTCACTCTTCACATGTCCCCAAGAGTGCTCTCCTCCAGCACTCTAGACCCTGTTCACCTGAGTAACACGTAACTGAAAAGAAGAGCCTGAGGCACGAATCCCTCCCTCCTCCAGCCCCATCACGGTCCACACGCAGAGACGTGTTTCCACCACCACTTTCTTCTGCCTCCCACGACTCAGAGCCCATCTCCTGCTAACTCCTTTGTCGTCCATTTCTCTTCCTGTCTTTTCTGTTTACTTTCATTCTCGACCTGTAAACAACCCACACTACCACGCCCCCTTCACCACCATCATCAACATATCCTAGCACTTTTGAATACTTAAAGATATGCCACCTGCTATGAGCACTACATTATGGAGTTTCCCTTCACCATAATATTGACCCTAAGAAACATATTAACGGGCGCTGTTGTCTTCAAACCGGACGTCAGATTCGAAGAGATAAAGGGAGTTGATCAAAGCCATGTTGCTTTTTTTTTCTAAAGGGTAAAGCCAGGTAGATATGAGAGCAAGGAACTCCAGGACATTCTAGACCTCACCACCACTTTAAAGACCATTTTCTCTGCCCTTTGTTATTTTCTTCTGAGGAAAATATGAAACACATCTGTTTCACTTACCTCCCCTCTTTCTATGCCACCAACACGTCAATGCATGCTTCTCCCTCAAAAATTCAATGTCAGAGTAAAATTAAAAATAATCACATTAAATCTTCGACTCCTTATAGAGGGAGGGATGGCCTGGGAGCTGCAAGAGGACAAATAAAGCTTATAAACAAAAACATGGATTATCCAGGGTCCCTGGGCAGTACGTTTTAAGCCTAGCTGGCCCAGAAAGCAGTAAGCTTAATACCCACACTGGCAAATATTTCCACAAGCATTATCCCCTATGTAGCAGTGTGGAAGGTCAAAGGAGGAGAGAAATACATCTCAGGCCCCAGGTGACTGCAAAATTGCAAAAACCAGGGATTTGGTGCTGGCCTCTAATGCTTTGGCTTCTTTTTCCTTCTTTCTTCTTCCTCTTCTTCTTTTTAATTTTCACAGACAAAAGAAACCATGTAGCTAGCAAGGTAAATAGTTCATGAGTTGTTTATTTTCTCTCTAGTCCTGGTAAAATTGAGTTCAAAATAATTAGATAACCCAGGAGCATCTCTGGCTGGCTCTGCTAAATCTAACTCATGTGTTTCCAGTGTAGCTGTGCAGCGAATGGGGCTATCAGTTAAAACAAGCTTAAAACTATTAACAGAGGGAAATTACAGCTTCAGCAGCTAACACCAGGTAGAGTGGCTCTGGCGTGGTATTAAGACTCAAGGTTGGGGGCAGCCACTCATGTCTCCCACATGGCCTCTCTTCCTCCCCAGCAGTTAACTGTGCCATGCCAGACAATGCTGCTAACTTGCTCCCAACACCTTACTCTATTTGTGGCCTTAATTGAGGGACCCAAACAAACAAATTAATCACTCTGGCCCATAAAAGTGACAGAATTCATAGGGCAGCATTCTTCATTCCCTCCAATTTGTTTTCTTGAAATCCCCACAGCGATTTATTTGCTGAATATGCGAGTTTTCCCCCCTTATGAAAATTACAAATTGTTGCCAAGGTTAAGGAGTTAATATTCTCATTCAATATTTATTTTATGGGGAGACGGAGGAAGCGCAACTGTCTCTCCTCTCCTCTCTACTGCGAAGTCGGGTTTCTTAATCAAAGTGACAAGGACACTGTCCTTCGGATGATCCCCTGAATCATCGAGACTAAAATATGAGCTTTATTAATCAACAGGCCCTGATTAATTATTATAAAGCACAGCTTCTACAGTTCTGTACATTTTAATAATTCCTGCAGAAGGCTAACAATGTCCCAAGAGAACCAGAGTCTTTGGGGTTTGAATTTTTCTCAGCAATGTCACAATAAATAGTCAAGAGAGGCAGCGAGCTTCCTCTCATCCACTCTGCTTCAAGCCAGCAAGCCAGAGACAACCTTCTCCTCGTTTCCATCTATAATTCATCATTTGCATACAAAGTAAGGAGCCAAGAACCAGCCGTTTCATCAGTTTTCAAAATACCAGGGGATGATGAGGGTGATTTATGGACAGTCATGTGATCTGGTTCACACAATCAGGCTATTTCTGTGGAGAACAGCCTGCCAGGATCAACTGATAAGAGTTACCATGCTCGAGACGGATGAGGGGCAGGCTGTGGTCCTGCCTGGGAACTCCTGTGACTGAGGACATTCTGACCTTGTTTGTATGCCAAGCTCATCTCCAGTCCCTCTTGGCACCAGGACAGGGTTCTGTCCTAGTGAACTGGTCAGCATGTACATGGTTTTGCTTTGCTTTTTGTGTTTTGTTTTTTGAGGCCTCCGGGACAACACTCTTAATACATCATCACTCCACAACTGATGCTCTTCTTCTTTGACTAAACTTGGGTCACACCAGGTGTGCATGGGAAGCAGAGCTTGTGACATTATGCCATTAAAAAATATGTCCTGTTCGTTGTATAACAGGTTGACTCCGGCTTAATAATTTTTAAAATATTATGAATTAAAAATTCAAAGTATGTATATGTATCATGCAATGGGAACATAAAATGGTAAAACGTATGTACACAAATGCATGTACATCTAGAGAATATATTAATAGATCACATTCGTAACCAAACAGAGTGAGAAAGGGACAGATGCAGGTTTTATGCAGAGATGCCAGGGCTCCATTGCAGAGCCTTGCAGTAAGCAGAGTTCTGCAACATAGACCCCACATCTGGTTCCCAAGCAGCCTCTTGAAACACAAAAAGACATTGAGAAAGAAGATATTCTTACACTGAAATAACTTACTTCTACCATTTAACATAAGAACCCAAATCATTTGCAAATAAAATACAGACCTATGTAATTAAAAACACAGATACGGACATAGAAATGGACTTCTCCAGAGCTGCCAGTAGATGTGGAGGCTGATGGACAAGATGGCTCCACCTCTGGCCATGAACTCTATCCCACTTATTTCTGCTCTGACAGCCTTAGCACAAGCCTTCCAGCTTCAAGTTCTTTTTGGAAGTCCTCTGGCTACTAGAACGCCAACCACTGTATCAGCATTCCAAAAAAACAAAAACAAGGCCTGGAAGCAGAGAAAAGGGAAGCAAAACAGTAACTCTCCAGTCCATTGTTGCTTTTTTTAAAAATCTCTGGACACTCCAACAGCCATATGCATCTTTGAACCAGGAGGCATCACGTAACCACCACTAGCTACACACGTGGCTGTGAAGTGTTGCCTTTAACTGGGCTCATGGTTGCCTTGAAAAAACAAGCAAGGGAAAAATAAATATTAGAAACAAGGTGGTGGGCAATCTCCGCCCCAAATTTCACAAGAGAAATTAACATAGAGAGTGTCTGAGACTGTAGGTGTCTTCTCACACCTGTGAGGTTATGACTGTTCCAGCTTTCCCAGCCCTCCTTCCACCACATCCCTCCTTAAAGAGGAGATAAAATGTGCAGACAGGGACACAGTACATGGACGTAGCAGCCACCCACAGCCTTCCTCCTCCATGGTGGAGCTCACTGAGAAAATCCGATGGCCTGTCATACTTATGGATGGTGGTGTGGATTATGCCGAAGTGTCCCCTCCTGATAAAATCCTCTTGGGAGTTCACTAAAGTCTATGGAACTTCTGGAAACCCTACAGGTGACTAGAAAAATCTGATAGAGAACCCTGGGCCGGGGTTAGAGGGATGGCCAAGCTGTTAAGAGGGTTTGCTGCTCTTCCAGAGGACTGAAATTTCACTCCCAGCAATACATCAGGTGGCTCACAACCATCTGTAACTTAAGCAGCAGGGAGTCCAACGCCTCTGGCCTCCATGGGCATCTGTGTTTGCCCGCATAGATACACAGAGACCACATAACTACACACAAGTAAAAACAACAAAATAAATCATAAACTAACCCTTGGCCTGTCTGTCCCCAAAGCATACCTCAGGAGGACACATGGAACCCTGGCCCTGACACTTGCAGAGGTCAGGCCTGCTTGTCTCCACACATCCGGGATTTCTATTCTGGTAACAGGATCCATGTAATGCACATGTCAGGCTTCCTAGAAGCCCCCAGGGCGCCTTTGAGGGCAACCATTGTTAGCCTGAACGCTTCCTCTTGTGCAGTTCAGCAGTAATGTCTTCGGGTTCTGGAATCTGAGGCTCCCTCACCCGCTTGCCCTGTGGAAGGTTCAAGTTCTCATCACAGATAGCAAGGAAATGAGATTATGATGTTAGCTTTCTCTAGAGATAACAGCAGTCCAGGTCATAAAACTACCATATGGCAGATTTGGCAGCCTCCACCGAGCACCATGGACTAATTATCACATAGACAGACTTTGGTCCCCATTTGCCAGCGCCTCAGGCCCCCTGTGGCAGGGCCTGGCAGCCTGGCGGAGGCGAGAGGCCGTATTGTGCTTGGCAGGGACACGATGTGACCTTACTGTGGTCAGTTCTATCATCTCTCTTAACATTTCGCTCATGATTAAGCTTATCATTTCAAATAAACACAAAATGTCAGATCTCGGGGCCTGCTTCACAGAGAGAGCCAAAATAGACCTCTGTTTGATTTAAAGGGGGTCCGGGCCAAGAGAGCGATCTGATCACTTCCCCCATCTGACTTTTATTAGAGCCATGCAGGAACAGGGGGAGGGCAGCATCCTTGCTGTTCCAATTGGATGGCTGCCACCAGCCAAACCCACTGTGTACAGCCCGCGACTCTCCTCGAATCTCTGGCATTCTGACTCAGAGCAGTGGTCCTGAGGTTGACCCCCCTGCTTGGTACCTGGGTGTCCCGGACTTAGTCTCTCACAGGTTTCTTGAGTCAGTGAGGGGAAGGGGGACCACACCCTGGTCTGTCCCTCTGAAGAAACTCTCCCTGGTAAGATGAGCCTGAGGGTTGTAAAAGTCTTCCTGATCAGGCCTCAAGTCGGTCTGTCCTTCCACAGATCTCTTTCTGTCCCTTGATACTGGAAAGGGCCTGGACAGGGGCTACGGGAATGCCCCGCACTCCCAGCATGCCTTGCTCTTCTGGACCGCACCAATGGGTGAGGGGGAAGTGCTGTGAAGACTCAGTGGGCTGGGTTTTACACGGAGAGCTTGGATACCCTCATCAGCTCTTCCTTCGCCCTGTCACCGGTTCGCGATTGCAGTGTGCATGACTGAATGAAAGGGTGTTCCACAGCCACGGAGTCTAGGCCACTGCGAGGCTGCTTAACGAGCAGTAGAAGTCAACGTCTCCGCTTTCTCGGAGCCCATTTGCTCGTGGATTTATTCAATAAACATTAAGGTGCCTGGTCTACTTCCTGTCCATTCACCAGCTCATCATTCAGACATTTCTCTCCCCACCTCTCTCTTTCCCTGTCCTCCAGCCAAATGGACCGTCACTTTGTGTTTTGAACAAGCTGCTGACCCGGCCCTACCTCCTTCTGAATTTTCTGCTGTTCACTAAGGGAGCAAACCTCTTCCTTGCTCCACTTAGATACCTTGGCCTACTTAGCATTTACTCATTCATGTCCAAAGGGTCCTTCCCCAGGAGATAACCAGGAGCCTGTGTCACGTGCCTCCAAGAGTAGAAGACACCAATGGCAAACAGCAGACTGACCGCTAAATTTATTATGCTGGGCTTTGATGCCCACCCACCCTCTTTCTGGTTAGACACACGCTTCATCAAAGTCTTGGCTCTAGATTGATCAATGCAATCCCCACTAACCAGCCCAGTGTCTTACACAAAGTGGCACTCAATAAGTATTTGTTTATTGATAAATTGAGCACTTACAAGTGTCGCCAGAAGGGTCTCTCCTGAGACGATGACAGAAAGGCTCCCAGCTCACAGGTGAGGTGACAATGAAGACTCAGAATGATAAATGCTACCATGCATTGGAGACGCTGCCATGGTGCAACACGGGCAGCTTTCGCTGCCTTTTTCCATGTAACTTCCATGAACACGCCCCAGGGGAAGGCAGATGCACGCTAAGACCAAACCAAAACAAAACCAGTTTGCAACTGATGGAAGACATGAAACAGATAATTCAGTGAAAACCAAAATGCTTGGTTTTCAGAAATCAGGACGCTAACAATCGATGCTAAAACTTGGAGGACAACTGTGGTTTATACATTAAAAAATAAAATAAAGGAAGGGAGATAACTGTGTGGCCTTGTTCTCATCCAGGAAGGAGATTTTTTAAGTCGTGACAATGATGGGAAAAGTTTTGAATAAAACCAAAACCTTGGGCAGCTGTCCAAGAAACAGCTTTACTCTTTGTCCTTTGAGTATAGCAACCTGGGATGAGAGAAGCCGGGTGGGAGAGATGTCGCCAAGTAAGCTCGGGAAAATCCCCGCCAAGCGGACAGATAAGTCGCTTCCTCTCACCACTCACACCCAGTACAACACTGCTGCAAGGTGGCACCCGAGACACAACACAGCCCCCGAGGAGCTCTGGTAAGCGCTGAGGGACATCCTTGCACAAAGAACCAACCCTAAGGGCAGGCAGTGACACAGGCTTCTCATCATACGGGTGTGGCCAAGTGATCTCAAGGTCCCGAGGAGCATGGATATGTGCAAAGACATAAGAAACAAATAAGAATACAGCGGGGCCAAACATGAGAAGGAGACTGAAACGCATGACCTTCCAGTGCTAGAGGGAACCATCTCCCTGCCTGAAGGTCAGTGGGGCCAAGGATAGCATGAGCCTTAGAAGTTTCTCTTTTGCTCTTGAATGGCTTTCTCATCATATTCTAATTCTCTGGAGATCACAGAGCCAAGGAAAGATGGACGTGGTAGCCTCAATATTATTGAGACTTAACGTGGAAGTAACCAAAATGATAAAATCAAGAATTTTCAACCGTCAGTGGAAATAAAGATTGTTGGATTAAGCACACGCACACGCGCGCGCACACACACACACACACACACACACACACAAACACGTTTGTAACATTTGTAGAAAAATAGGTCTACATGTATGCAACAGGATTCTCCCCACATTGGTATCTGTGGTAGTGCAGACACTATGAAAACTAGAGAGGGAGCAGCAAGTTTGTGTGAGCCCCGAGAAAGGCTGTGTGAGCTGGACCATGAAACATAAGTCAAAGGTGGGAGGAAAGGAATTGCAGCACACAGGGAAGGGATGGTGGAAGAGCATGGGCCAAAGCAGGGAGGTCTGGGTAGCCTAGACTGGGGACATCCCCAACTAATGAAGCAGGTTAGGAAAATCCACGCAAAGGAGGCTACCTGCAATTCTAAATTTAAAATGCACGGATTTCCTCCAGGTCCCAAAGGCTGTTCACCAAAGGCTTGTAGGCTTTGAAAATGGAAGCTTGTAAAGTGGGGAAGAAATGGAAGTTAGACCTGACATTTTAGAAATCTGAGTTTGTCACAAACCCAAAAGGGTCACACCCCACTTCAGGTTTCAGATTCCATTGGTCTGAGGCAGCTGGCATTGCAGCCATTTCCTTGGAACCAACAGAGGCAGCAAGAGCCAGCAAGGGAAGGTTACAGACAGAAGACAGCAGAGGCTTGGAGATTAGGCGACCTGGAGAGACTGCAGGAAGTGCACGGTGACTGTCGTGCGTCAGAGAGGAGGTGTGATGGAAAAGGAGGAAAGAACTTTCCACTCATCTTTTGCTCTCTTCAGATTAAAAAAACCAAAAACATGCTTTTGTCTGTGGCTTGGCTCCCAGGTGAGAGTGCGGCCAGAGGACGGTCTCGGGTATCATTCATCAGAAGTCCACCTTGCATTTTGAAGCAAGATCTCTCACTAGCATAGGGATCACCATTTAGGCCTGCTTAGCTGGAGAGTAAGCCCCTGCCTGCCTCTGACTCCTTCCCCTATGCCCACCCCCTAAGCTGACGTTAAAAGCATTCAGTAACACTGCTGGCTTCTAACGTGGTTCTGGGGATTGAACTAGGGTCTTTGTGCTTGCATGGAAACCCCTGCCTCAGCTGAGCAATCTCCCCAGCTTCTAGTCCAGTCTCTTCTGAACTCACCAGTTTGAATTCTTACATCATCGTCCTATTGTCTCACTGCCTAGATATTCTATTGTTTAAGATTTACATATTGTATTTTATAGATATGAGCATTTTGCCTGCATAAATGTATATGTGTCCTGTGTGTCTGATTCCCCCTGAGGTCAGAAGGGGGCACAGGATCCTCTGGAATTGGAAGGTAGATGATTGTGACCCACCATGCCCCATCTCCTCCAAGAACAGTCCTAACATCCACACAGTAGACTGTTTCTTAATGGTCATAGCTGTGAACACAAGCAACTACAGCTAAAGCAGCAAAATGTATGTTCACGGGAGCCTTAGGGGAGCCAAGGGCAGGCGTGTTTGGGCGTGGCCACAGCAGACTACCAACAGTATCAAAGAGAGTGTGATAACTGAGGTGGAGCCTTTCATAACCCCTAACCTACAGGCAACTTGTGTTAAGGAGTCTTTTAATGAAAAGGCCAGATGTTAGGTGAGAAAGTCAGCCTCTAACTCCTAGCTCCCATAACACTAGGCCTACAACTTGCTTACTGCAACTCAAAATGCCACAAAACGTGACTAAGGCTTACTGAGGAATTAAATGTTCCTTGGGTGGAAAAGCATCAATTTAACTACCAAGAGTTTAAAGAGTAAGGTTGAAGGGTTAAAACCCTACACATGCTGAAGGAAGTCATGCATCTGTGCATGGTATAGATGGGCAGGGAACGCCCCGTGTGTCTTAGTTCTGTTCTCAGACCCAGGAGCCAACAGAGCAAGAATTCATCAGCATGCTGTAACTGATCTCCATATGGGAAGGCACTGTGCTCAGGGCCCCCCACTTTCTGCTGGAGAATTTGGGAAGACCCAGCCCTTGCTTAAGGATTTAAAGGAGGGCTTCTGGAATAAGAGGAAAATTCAAGTAACCTCTACCAGCATGTTTTTTTGGGTTGTTTTAGTTTTAGCTCAGACAGTTTAAATTCACTGCATTGTTCTGCTTTGAAGTGTTGGAAGCAGCAGCGTGTGAAGCCAAGCACGGCCACTGTAGCAATGTTTAAAGCAGAGGGAAGGAAGGGAAATGGTCCAAATGTTCATTTGAAGAGACGAATTTAGGAAGAGGTGATCTATTATGCACATGTTAAAAGGTAACAATGTTCATTGCTATTTCTTACATTGCAAGATATCCAAGGTGTAAGTCTCAGCCCCATTCATCTCTCCAGCAATGCATTTAACCTCTTGGGTTTCCTGTCTCTTTGTTCATGAAAGAACAGTATGTATATGCCTGTCTCACAGGGCAGTCAGCAATATCAAATGAATTAATACATAAAAAGTGCTTAAAACAATGTGATGTGTGGTATATATTACACAAGACACTTGCTCATTAATATTATTCTATGTTTTTAAAAAAAAACCTCAGGGCAAGAATGTGTGATGACATCTCTGCTACACAAAATTACATAAAAGTTGCATTACTTATGAAGTTACAGTATCTCTCTCAAAATAAATATAAAAGTTAATGCTGGAAAGCTTGTCAGTTGTGCTATAGGGTATAGACTGAGGAGAAAGTGCTCACTCCATTAGTTCATTTCTATATTGCTTTAAAATTAGAATACAATATACTTTTATGTTTTGGTCATTTAAGAAATGACAAACACAAAGACAGTAATATTGTGCAAAATATATTGATTTCCTTATTCACTCTGAGGCAGATTTACATGATATATTTTTTAACAAAGCAAGTGCAATGAAAGACTTCATTTTCTTCCGGTGTAAGGAGCACCGAGGTATTGAGAAAGCCTGGGAAGTGTCCAGGTCAAACTCAGCGACCAGAGCCTCATCATGGGACGAGACCACAGCCTCCAAAAACATAGGGTCTCCAGGTGTTCCATTGTAAAGAATGTGCCGAAATGGAGCCAGCACCATTTAAATTGAAATAACAAAACTGAAATGCTTCAGATTATTGATATTCACAGGAGTTTAGTCCAAACTTTTACTTTTTAAAGCATGCTGAGCATCTTACTTAATGAATCCAATCCATTGAAGAAATTTTGACTTGTATGATTACATAGAAGATAATAATTACATTCATATAATATTGAATATTGATAGGTTGAATTAGCAACATATTAGTTCTTTAATTTAATAAATATTATTTTGGGTATTAAGCAGTCTAAATCTGATTCATAAAATATTCATTAAAATTAGACTGCTATTTATCACTATGGCACTGGCATGGGAACCTTGCCTTGACCTGTCTTTTCTTTTTGGTTTGTGTTTTGGAGGGGCAAGGAGGTTGAAAACAAAGTTTCTCTTTGTAGCCCTGGCTATCCTGGAACTTGCTCTGTAGACCAGGCTGGCCTGGAACTCACAGAGATCCATCTGCCTCTATCTCTGGAGTGCTGGGATTCAGGCGTGCACCACTGTCACCCAACTTCCTTGAATAATGTGCCAGCCAGCATCAGGAATGGAGGAAGGGAACAGCTCCTGGATGCAGCAGGGCCCAGCAGTGCATCATGGCAAACCTATCCTGTTATCAACATCCTTTTGCATTCATCTCCCAAGGACCATTCCAGTGGGGAAAGCAGTTCAGAGCCACGTTGGAAATCTGAGTGTCTTCCTCCTGGACAACATTCCCCCAAACACCTAGAAGAACCCTTACCCTCAGAGAGACAACTACTCTCTAAAAATTAACCAACTGAAAACAAAAGAACAACCTTGTAACTAGCTAGCATTTGGAGAGTCAGTAACTCAGACAAAAGCATTTTCCTTCATAAAAATGCTCCACTAATGCCCACAAAAAAAACCAAAAGTGAATCACCACATTTCTTTCTGTTACTCCTAAAGCATTTCCCAACAACTGTCCAACACGCGGTGATGATCAGAGATGACCAAGAAACCATAATTCAGGGTCAGTTTGTGAGAATCGGCCCTGCTAAGTTGATCAAGTCATGGTAGAGATGTTGGGACAGAATGTAACTAACACTGACGGCTGGGATTTTAAAAACCA